TCATTTGTACGTCACACCACAGTTGCAAATTACATTTTAGCAACCTTCTTTTTTTTTATATCACGGACAAATTGCTGATACAGGGAAACAAATGGCATGATTGTTTTAGTAATTATAATGTTTCAGTTCATAATATGTAGAGTGTAAGGAAAACAACATGTCTCTAAATGGGACGAGCATAATAGGGGTAGGCCTCATGATGGAGGCAGCCATGACAGGGGCGGGGAAGGAAATGACAGCAAGGGAGGAAGTGAGAGGGGTGACGTCCATGATATGTGTGGGAAAGGAAGACAGGAGGTGTGGGCATGGTAAGGGCGGAAGTGACGTCACTTTAGAAGCAACCGTGACTGTAGATAGGTCACGGGACTGGCAGGGTCAACCTCCTTCTGTACTAGGCGCCATCTTTAGGGTGGTGGCTGACGTACTTTCAACCATACACTATATTAAAACTATTAAAATAAGTCAGAGAAGCAACATTCTGTTCTGCAAAATGAAATACTAAACTATGAACAGACCTGGCAGGTTAAATAAGACAGTTGAGAACATTATGCATTTAACAGCCCATACAGCTGTTTCTAGAAACATGTACTTTAAAATAATAAAATGATGCAAAATAAACTCACGGAATTCAACCAATTTCCCTTATCTTCCTCAAACCATTAATCACTTTCCTCCTCTTATACTGACTTAACAACATCGCATATTCCCTCTACACCTTCCTAAATCCCGTATTCAACACTGAATGCAATCTTGTGAGCTCGTCACTCCCACAATCCTCAGTACCTTATACTCTTATCAGTAGAAATGCAGGCAAGCGGGGAGGAGAGGGGGGGAGAAAGTTAGACAGTGCAAAAAAAAGGGAGTGAAGCTGCAGGCATGAAGATTAACCATGTGAGTGCTGGAAAGTAACAAGACAGAAGGACAGAGACTTATACGTTTGGAAACCAGAAATCTTTGACGGGAGAAACGGACTGGAGGTGCAGGGAGCTGCAGAGAGAGGATGAGGGTGACGAGATCTGTAGGACTGATGGGGGGGGGGGAGAATAGGGATCCATCAGCATCCAGTGACACAATTATTATAATACACAAACAATCTTAAACCTTTATGATTTATCTCTTCCTCTACCCAACCCTCCTGCTGGATAGCCTTTGCTACTCTGTACCATGCTTCAGCAGTACGTAATAAATCATTATCTGTAAGCTTGCCTTTCTTCTCTGTCAGTAATCTACGCCAGCTTTCTGGCTGTAATCTAACACATGAAGGCACAGCAATTTTACACACTTTAACAATCTTTGCAACATTTTTAACCAGTTCTTCACCTTCTCTATCTTCAACTAAATCACACGCGAGCCAGCCCCTAGCGGGCTTACTCGTTTCCTGTCCCATATCCCCCTATACAAAGCGTCCCAAGTATAGGTAAAGGAAAATGAAACAGAACGTCTACAATGCTCGACTGCCACTAGGAAGGGTGGGGTGGGTCCCTCCCAGTGCGTCTTCCCAAAACGTAGACCAGTCACTGAATCCGTGTACCCTCGATGGTAACCACGGATTGGAGCGGGGTGAGAAGTGTGTGACCAATCACTTCTCTTTCAAGAGAAATAGGAGTGGATAGTGTAAATAGTACAGGAAGTAAAGTAAAAGTAAACAGTGAAAGTAGAGACAGACCCAGGAGTTTGAATGACTCCACACTTAAGACAACATTTAATACAACATTTCAATTGAAATACAGTGCATGCATCAACAGTAATCCCTTTCCTTTACTCTTGTGGCCACCAAGACCACCTCCCTCAATCTCGTAGTGTCCCCGCTCGGAGAACAACTTTCGTAAGTTTCACTACCAGCGGCCAAGGATAACGACTAACACCGGCCCGAAATCCATATGCCTCCCTCGTTACAGCAGTCCACTAAGTGTGGCCACCTCTATCCTCACTCCCGTAGTGCTCCCTATGGACCCACCCACAAGTCACACTACCCCGTGGTGATGGAGACAACAATGCCTGCCCGAATCCACACACCACAAATAAATTGGAATGCCACCAGCCTCAGCGCTCGAAGCTGGAGGGTACCATAACCTCTGCAAGCAGAGCAACGTACACAATGAGGCTAGCTAGAATATCAAAGTGACGTAACCGGGAAACCCCAGGAGGCAAGTCCCCTCCACAGATCCCCCAACCCTTCTTTTTCCTTACTACTGTTAGCTAGACAGTACCTAAAAGAAGTAAACAGGAAAACATGACCCCTTTGGAAAATCCCCATTCCACCCCCCCTTTTTTCCCAACAGTCTGGGCCAAGTGACTCCTAAAAAGGGGTAAAAACAGGCAACAGAAGACCCCCAGGCAACCACCCACGGGTCCACCCCCCTTTATCCCAAAAGAGGGAAAGAACAAAACATATACCACTAGCACACCCAGGCAACAGACTAAATGCAGGTAAACAAATGGGTAACAAGACACCGGGCAAGATATTACCTGTCTTTGATGCCCTCCCGGGAAGCAGTCACAGACACGTGGACGGGTCAATCAAAGGGGCTGGAACATACCAGTGGCTCCTGCAGAAGTCTCTACCGTGTACTCAGAGGTGATCAGTCTCTCTTCCTTCCCCCCTGATTCCTCCGTCCAACAGCGTCTTCCTTAGGACGGCTTACCGGCCGGAGGCCATAGCCCGATGCCCCACGTTGGATGGACGCCAATTGTAGTAGATTAATTTAGAAATAAACAAAAATGTTTAAAAGTCTATCTGTTCCTGTCCAAATCTGAGATGAATAAATTGCGTATACGCAGAAGTAAGTTTACACTGACACATGCAGTTCAGGTTAAAAACACTTCAGGAAATTTATTAGCATCTAGTTAAAAAGCGGGCACGCAGGCCTTTTTATATGCAAAATGACATCATCATTGAATATCAGATAATAACAAATAAACATCATTAATTGGGTTAAATGTTAAGTGGCTATGTCAGTGTCCACCCATTAATATTATTAATTGGCTCAGAGATTTGAGTGACTAGTGAGGCACCCTCCCATCATGGGATGTCGTCGCCATTGCTCTTTAGCACGAGGCTTACTCGGTGGAAAGGGGGGGCTTGGGCATCATTTTACGTAGTTAGTGATGTCAGTCTCGTGGTCTGTTCCAAGGTTCTTTTATGAATAAAACATTTCATTTTGTCGCTGTTCTCCTGGCCTTGGATTATACTATGTTGCAAGTCAACGGAGATCCGCTAACTCCGGGGCTAGTTATGTCCTTAGAGAGAGAAAATACAATCTCTTATTCATTATACTGAATACTGTCAGGAAATTCTGTCATGTAAGGTGAACAAAATGGAGAATTCTGTCATAGTGTGAGATTAAAATGGAGTTAGTACAATAATTCAATACAGGTTCAGTAAAGATTTTAATAATTCTACATCAGTCCCCCCTATGAAATGTTAGATTCTAAAAGATAATCTTTATTTGTTAGTATCAGAAGACGTGTTAGCCCAAAGGCACAGAAACCCCGTGACCCGCTAGCTAGGTGTTATTACAAAGTGCAAAGCTGTCCCTTCGTCTGTCCCTAATTGGCTAACTCATCTGTCCGCTGGGCACTCGAACACTTCACTCCATGGGTATCCCGAGGTGGCTAACCCACCACATCTCCGCACGGTAGACTTCCCAGACAGACAGATGCTGTCCCTAAGCTGGTCCCTTCCTAGAACTCTTGCACTCTATCCCGTGCATTGTTGTCTCCATCACCACGGGGTAGTGTGACTTGTGGGTGGGTCCATAGGGAGCACTACGGGAGTGAGGATAGAGGTGGCCACACTTAGTGGACTGCTGTAACGAGGGAGGCATATGGATTTCGGGCCGGTGTTAGTCGTTATCCTTGGCCGCTGGTAGTGAAACTTACGAAATGAACGGTGGACTTCCCGGGCGGACGGATGCTGTCCCTGGGCTGGTCCCTTCCTGGAGCTCTTGCGCTCTATCAGTAAACGGGATAGAGTGCAAGAGTTCTAGGAAGGGACCAGCTTAGGGACAGCATCTGTCTGTCTGGGAAGTCTACCGTGCGGAGATGTGGTGGGTTAGCCACCTCGGGATACCCATGGAGTGAAGTGTTCGAGTGCCCAGCGGACAGATGAGTTAGCCAATTAGGGACAGACGAAGGGACAGCTTTGCACTTTGCAATAACACCTAGCTAGCGGGTCACGGGGTTTCTGTGCCTTTGGGCTAACACGTCTTCTGATACTAACAAATAAAGATTATCTTTTAGAATCTAACATTTCATAGGGGGGACTGATGTAGAATCATTAAAATCTTTACTGAACCTGTATTGAATTATTGTACTAACTCCATTTTAATCTCACACTATGACAGAATTCTCCATTTTGTTCACCTTACATGACAGAATTTCCTGACAGTATTCAGTATAATGAATAAGAGATTGTATTTTCTCTCTCTAAGGACATAACTAGCCCCGGAGTTAGCGGATCTCCGCTGACTTGCAACATAGTATAATCCAAGGCCAGGAGAACAGCGACTAAATGAAATGTTTTATTCATAAAAGAACCTTGGACCAGGCCACGAGACTGACATCACTAACTACGTAAAATGATGCCCAAGCCCCCCCTTTCCACCGAGTAAGCCTCGTGCTAAAGAGCAATGGCGACGACATCCCATGATGGGAGGGTGCCTCACTAGTCACTCAAATCTCTGAGCCAATTAATAATATTAATGGGTGGACACTGACATAGCCACTTAACATTTAACCCAATTAATGATGTTTATTTGTTATTATCTGATATTCAATGATGATGTCATTTTGCATATAAAAAGGCCTGCGTGCCCACTTTTTAACTAGATGCTAATAAATTTCCTGAAGTGTTTTTAACCTGAACTGCATGTGTCAGTGTAAACTTACTTCTGCGTATACGCAATTTATTCATCTCAGATTTGGACAGGAACAGATAGACTTTTAAACATTTTTGTTTATTTCTAAATTAATCTACTACACTAACACTATAATATCCCTTTAAGGGGGACCAATCGTCTCCATAACCCCATAGAGGGAGCATTAGGTTCGCTCCACTACCATGCCTGGAAATGCACCGTTACTCATAATACATACAGCTATAGCATCCTGTAAAATTGTAACTTGTTGTAACTTTGATATCCTGCAGGGTTAGATTATTCATAAATATATACTTAATAGTTACATACATAAATTTAGAGGGCACATAGAGTTATAGGTTATATTCGCTTATCACCATTTGCTAGCTATAGGGTTAGCGGATTATTGACATTATTTAGGAAGTATACCTGCACATTAGGTGCTGTCAACTGTAGATCCCATCACCCTCAACAGTGCGTGGCCTGGGACAAGATATGGGGGTTACAGTACACTATATCTCTAATGTTCAGATTAGGTTAGGTAAACCATTTGTCCATTCCCCCACACTCTAAGGATTCAGCAAATTGCAGTCAGTGTCATTCTGCCAGAGCTGTAATACCGAGGTGTTCTAACGAATGTAACAATATTATAGCATCACCTTTAATGCACTCTTTTGACTCAATTTTAAAAGTAAATCAAAAAGCAATATGTGCAAAAAAAAAGCATGATTAAAAACCTTTATTATAATTTGTAAAAAGTGCTGCTAAAACTCTGCAATCATTGTAACAATATAAAATTGCTTTCATGCAGCAGGTCTACAAAAATAAACAGATAGGTAATAACGGGGATTTGCATTCTCAAATCTAATTGCAGCTAGGACTTGTGTAGTTATATGTATAGTGTCAGAATAAAAAACACAATTATCAGAACTGCAGGTAGTGGCATTAAGTGTATGTAGCTCAATACTAGGTAATTATGCATGAGGTGACCATGCTGAAAAGATCAAATGCGAGACTCAAAGAGCTTGATATAATGCACAGTGTTAAAAGAAAGCTGCAGTCATTTGAGTTTCAAAGACACACACAGAGCTGAAACACTGTGTGTCTGGCATTGTGCCATCCTGCTGAGCACTAATTGCTACAAGACATGGCACTTCCTATATCAGTGACTGAAGTAGACTCATTTAATCAATCAGAAAGGATATCAATCTTCTGATCTATGAAAAGATGGAGAATTAGTCCGTCCAACAGGTAAACTGTCTTAACTAATCACCAGTCACATAAAAAAAATCAATCTGTTACGCAAAAGTAGTTTTGTGATTTTTTTTTTCCACCAAACCAATTAAAATGAAGACAGGAGAGTGTCCAGCGTGTGCTCTCTGCCAGTGGTTGGTGGAAACATTGCAACATTTTTGTAACTATCTATTTTAAAGATGGACATTTTCCCTTACTTTTGTGACTCATCTTGCTCCTATAGACTTGACAATGCTGACATTAAAATGGCAAGTATGGAATTGTGGTAACAGATTATAATGGTATTGTACACAGCAATCTATTCTGTGTTTTAACTGCTTAAAGACACAGCTTCAGAAATAAATGACAATCATGACGGAACATTTCTGTCATGTGTCCTTAAGGAGATAAACCAGCAGTGATAGGGTGTTAGGATACAGTAGTCTACTTATTAACTCTTGCTAACACTAGCAATGCCGTGGATTGTAACACCCATCATGAAAGGGATGCAACAGCTCACAGTGACTTATCTTGAATGAAGGTAGCTTAATGCTAGGCCAACGTCAACACTAGCAGGAATTTTTCCGATTGTGACATTATAAAATCTTATCAATTAGCAAAGCTTTGAATATATTTAAGGAATTACATTCCCTATATGACTCGTTCCGTTAGTGGGTTGCATTAAAACACATAAAACGAATTAATTATCCCTATGGTTCAGTCAATCAGTGGACTGCAAAAAAAAGTGTTGGAACATGAAAAATAAATTCTACATTTCATTTTTGTGTTCACTTTACTTAAGAGAAAACAGTGGGTGGAAGGGTGCAATTTGGAAACCTTTTCTTCAAGAAAACCTGTGATTGAGTGTTTAATGTCTAAATAGTTTTATAAAGGTTATAATGTTACTAGTCAATTTTAATAGACATTGTGTTTTTGATACAGAAATGGGATAGAATGGAAACACAGCGTCAAGTGCATAAAATTTTTTATTCCGGCATACCATTAATATAATATATGATTATAATATTTATTTTCTCTCACAGAGGGGGATCGGTGGGACCTGCCATACAAGTTACATGATTCAAAAAAATAAGAAGGAGAACCACTTACTCATAACTAAATCAAAAGACTTAAACAACTGTGAGGATAAAGCAGAGCTGATCAGTGGAAATGCGTATGCCGAACGCTGTCCAAAATGTAAAGAGGTAGATACATTTTATACCATTCAATAAAGTGTTTTCATTGCGAAATAATTGTATTCTTCATAAATTTAGCATTGTTCTTCTTCTTCTTGATTTGAGAGAAACAAAAATTCCCGTGCCACGATCATGTACAGTTATAATGTGAAAGTTACGGAGCTGGGATCCATCTTACATGAAGCCACTGTGAACGAGGTCCATCAGTTTACTCCTTTTAAAGAGACCGATGGAGCAGCTGTCCTGAAAGCCAGGTATAATAAGCAAGAAGAAAACATTTCATTTAATTCATTAGCCTTTGGGGTTAACGGTTAGGATAGACGTTAGGGTTTGAGGTTAGTTCCAGACGATTTAGGGTTTGTGGATTAAGGATATTATCTGATAGAGATTAGAGACTATAAGGCTACATACATTAGGGTTAAGATTAGAAATTATGGTAGAGGTTAGAAAAGAGCTTAACTTTAGGAATTGGAGTTAGAGTGGTTAATGTTTGAGACTTGGGTTAAATTCATTCATTTCTGGAGTTAAGGCTTGGGGTAAAAGTAAAGGGTTAGAGACATTAGGGTTTGTGTCAGACTTCTTTGACTAAATAACTCTTATCCAGCCATGTATTAGACACACAACCAGAATAATAAGCATGGGTTGCTAATAACAACTAATATTGGGATGTTGTGAAAGTAAAGTCACATGGGAGTATGGGGGTGATTAATAAAAATAATTAATAATACAATTATATCAAATTAAAGGGTTCCACCACTTTTAGAAGTGGTCATGGTGGAAGGAGTCTGTATGTCCCGAGTTTCTGCTTGAAAAGCTGCCCATACTGAGACATTTGCTCTTTTGTGCAGGGGCTAGTTGCACCCCGAGATGCCTAATATGAATTCTGTGCAGAATTTACATCTGTCAGTGGTACACATAGTGCAGTTCCTTGCAGGCAGTACAACTGCAAAGAGAAGCTTCCCCCCCTCCTCTTAGCAGAACCTTCCCACCTCCCTGAATTTCCAGTTCTTTGGGGTTTTTTTTGCGTTAACCCCTTAAGGACACGTGACATGTGTGACATGTCATGATTCCCTTTTATTCCAGAAGTTTGGTCCTTAAGGGGTTAATCCACTGTCTACCTCTTCCCACCAACCCCTCCCCATGTCAAAGCACACACCTTTTTGAGCTAGGAAAACAGACCAATCAAATGCGTTTCTGTAAGAAGCATTTCATTTAATTGGGCGACAATCAGGCGCCTCTGATATCAAACACTGCATAGAAGGCAGCACTTTGATTCCAGGTAAGTTTAACCATTTATTTTCAGGTTTATAAGGGGGACCTAGTAAATAATGCACAGTAGAGCATTAGAAACTAAAAGACAGGAAGTCAGAAAAAGAGTTAGAATAGTCTTAAGCTGTTTTTTTTTTCTACTCAGGCCCTGTAGAAGAGGTTTGTGTATATTATTTACAATGCTTTAACACAGGTTGCTTTTCTATTTTGTAATCCTGAAAATATTGTTTAAAAGTGCAGCTAGAATCTCTGGAAAGCAGGATCTTCTTACAGTGAACCAAAAAATAGAAATAATGAGAATTCACAAATATGAATAAAAAATATCTTCCTGTGAATCATAACAGCCACACATTGTAATTACTGTGAAATACCTATTCAGTTCCTACAGCAGCACATAAAAAATAAAATGATCTCAAACCTAATTATGATAATAAAAACTTACATTTTACCACA